TTGGCTTGCCTAGCTGTAGTGTTGGGCGCCATTACGACCTATAGGTGAAATTGGGTCGTGACATGTTCATCAACGCGTTCACCCTCGGGTTCAAGCCAGCCGTCGACCCGGTAATCAAGGCCTTTGCAAGGCATTAAATATCTACTTGGGTCAAGTGAGACCAGACATATAGCGGTCAGTGTCTTGCCTGAGGTTCTTGACCGAGAAAGTGGGGAAGGTTTTTCCTTCAAGAATCTCATTTAAATTTACTTCACCAAGCTTTACGAGGGATCAAGGCTGACATTGGCGCGCGGAGGCACCCCTGCTCTTCTGGCCAATACAGAAGATGATTTCGGCTGGAGATGGTACGACATATTTGTTAAAGCACCTACCCGAGACATCTTAGGCGAAACTGATATTCCTTTCTCGGAAGAATGAAATTTCAAGCATGTCTTCCCCTTCTTATTTGGTTATCACTATTCACTTTTGAGTGAGATTAACGGCTCTAAATCTATCACTAGTCCGCTCCGGGACATGCAGAAGTAGGTTGAAATTTTTTTAAAGTCGACGACCATGGAGGTGAGGGCGTGGAAAGCAATTTCTCTCGTTTGGGTATGGGAGTCGAAAGACCACGGTATGAGCTCTTTTAACTCGGTAATATTTTAACCATTCCTATTTGATGACATCCTTGATACTAACCGGCACTAGATCTATGAAATTGTCGGCTTGGGTTGAGGTCCTGGTTCTGAAGATACCCCAAGAACTTGTACGACAACCTTCCTTGCCCAAGAGGGAAGCCAGTGAGGAGGGGTCTTCTGCCTCGAAGCCCAAAAACTAAAAAACGAGGAGCTCCAAAAAGAAAGATACAGAGAATGGGGGNTGAGGAAGAGGGCCTTCTAGTTTCGTCCAACCCTCCAACTGTTCTGGTTGAGGATGATGACTTGCTGGAGGCGCTCTTAGGGAAAAGATCCGGCAAGGAGCCGATGGTAGATGAGGGGGAAAATTTGATACATTCGAGCAAACATTTTTGCAAAGCGGCCACAATTCTTTTGATAGGGTTATGACTTCTGGAACACGACTCTGATATGGAGGGCGTAGACCCTTACTTTGAATGTCTGCTTAAGGTGCCTTTGTGTTCGGAGTCTAAAGAATCCACCCTCCTTAGAAGAATGTTGTTGGTAGAAATCCCTATTGATATGAACATCTTCTGGAGGCTCAAAAATGGCTCCATTGTTCAAAGGTTTCATCATGTCCTTGGAGCAGGAGTACATAGAGATGGCTTCAACGATGGCCCTTGCTAATCATGTGGCGCATTCACAATTTAAGGTATAGGCTTGAATATCTTTTTCTCCTTGTTGATTCTTGTTTCCATGCTTTTCTAAGAGTTTGCTTTTGGTAAGTTAACATGGTGGCCACAGAGCTCCATAATATAATTGCGACAAGTGACATTGTTCGATGTGCACGAGATAAATAGGTTGACACAAGCCTTGGCATAGAGGAATGTAAAGAGGAAAGCTTTGTCCGCAAAGGCCTAAGAAGCTTCTAAGAGGGTTGGCCAGTTGTAGCAGGAGAAAGAGACTTTGGCGATCGAGTTCTCCTGCCAATTTCGCGAGCTGGATTAGAAGGTGCAAAGATTCAAGATTGACATCAAAAGGAAAGAAGATCATCACCTACGTTGTATGGAGGAATGGAATCGAGATATATTTAAGTTCCAAGCCCTAAAGGATCGGTGCCAAATGCTATTCACAAAAGTGGTTGAGCTTACAAGCAAATTAGAACTCTTAAAGGAAGAGAGGAACACGTTCTGGGCCTAATGGTTTGGCGCTGCCTTAGAACTAAAGGAGATTAAAGAAGAGGCGAAAAAAGATGAAAATTACACCTACTTGCTTGCCGACAGGAAGGCCCTTAATGAAATCTGTTCCGTGTATTTCTTCTAGGATGAATATATTGCAAGGCAAGATGCTCTTGTAGATGGAGAAAAGAGTTAAAGTTCCTCTGCCTCAGGTGACTCCGAAGAATCCGGGAATGAATGAGAAGAAGAGGATGAGGGCGAGGCCCCTGATGAAGTCCTCGGGGTGAGGGTACTTGAAGCGTAACCTTTGTCTTAAGTTCTTGCAATTGATCCTTCTTCATCTCTTTCTTATTCCTTCCAATCATCCTTCCCGAGAATATGGGGTTCTCTAACATCTCCCTTGTAAAAGTTTTTTGAATGATGGGTCATTTGTGCCTTTTATAATATCGATTTTATTTATGCCTTTTTGCTTTAATTTTTACATACTTACATATAATGATTGTTGTAGTCTTATAGGATAAGCCTAAATGAATTTATCGCGTACTTGTGAAAACCATTTAAGAATAACTTATAAGGATTCTTACGTTTTCCGACGCCTACAAAGAGGACATATCCTTTTATTTTTACGATATGAATTATTCGAAAATATCAACAAGTATTTTTTGTTCGAGAATGTTTATTCGCGTTAGAAGATTTGTAGTTTTGCAGATATATGAGTTGACTGCAATTTTTCGAACAGTTCCCGGTCATAGTTGTCAGATAGCAACTTATTGATTGCCGACTAAGGTCTTTCGAACAATCCATGGTCCTAGGTGTCGAGTATTGCAACTTAAGAGTTTATTGTTGACTGCGATCATTTTGAACAGTCCCCATTCTAGGTGTCGGGTATGGCAACTTATGAAAAGAGTATGTTGCTGACTGTGATATTTTTGAATAGTTTTCGATCTTAAGTGTGTGTTATGGCAACTTATCGGAAGTATCTTCCACCAAACTATACCCGTTAAGATCTGGCCATCAATTGAGTCGGTTATACGGACACCATAGATTTAGACATCAAATAAGCTTCTTTTACGGATATCGTAATCTCCCCTATTTTTCGGGTGCTTCATAGAAAGTGTCCAAAAAAAATAGAAAACTTCCAACAGAAAAAATCTTAGCAAGTTTCTTAGCGAGAAAGATTTCTTTTTAATATTCCTAAGATGATGGTGATTTGACCTATGATTGATGAGAGACATGCGTAGTATCCTATTGATGTTCTTGACATGTAGCCAAATTTCATATGCTCTATTACTGATAGCAGTTTTCTAAGCAATGATGAGTACTTTTAGTAATTGATGTGAGCTTAATTCTAAAGATTCTAGGCTTTGTTGTTTGCCTATAAATATACAAAATTGATGTTATTGCTTTTATGTTTCTTCAGTTGCTTCTTTACATTTTCCACTTTGTGTTTAAGCAAGATATCAATAATGTTGTTGCTACTGTGTTAGAGGCTTTATCCTCTTTGACACCGAATCTCTCCAAAGAAGTAGCGGAGTCCGCCCAAAGCTAGAGAAAACGGTTATTAAAGCTTCTTCCAGCAAACGAGCGAAAAAGGAAGTTGAGCCCACAGTATACGATGTTTTGCCAAGGGAGTTGACACTTGGACATATGGTAGTGTTATGGAACAATACCACATGCCCTGTTGATATTCTTTCCTCTTTGGTGTGCCCCGAACATCTCCCTTTGTTGAAGGAAGAATATGGCTCGGAGGATTTATATGTTCAAGTGCCCTTGGACTCTTAGCGTATATCAAGTTCTAGAGAAGGTTATACATTCTAGTACACCAACCCCTTTACTTTGAAGTATAAACCTCCGATTAATCAAACTTGGATGGTGTGGGCTTCACTCTTCAACACCTCCTTCATTTATATTACCCGAAGTTATACTGGGGAAACATCATTATGCTTTCTAGCCGGAGTACTCGAAAAGTAGTAGACACTGAAGATGGCCATGATACAGGCTGACATGACCGTTTTGTGGCTTGCGAGGAAGCCATTTCTAGGAGAGTAAAATGATAAGTGTATGCATGTTACCTTTCTTGTAAAACTTCCTTTTTTGCTTTTTACCTTATTTGAATTTCGAACTGTAGTTGTTCTTAATTCACTCGGGGTGGCACCTAATGTTGAGAAATTCGTCGGGAAGATTTTATCTTGCTCCCCTATGCCAGAGAGGTTCTGGATGCATATTTCTGAGATTTTTGGGGTAGAGGGCCACGAGCCATGGTATGTTCTTGGTCTTTTTACAGACCCTCCACGAGTGAGAGGTTATCATAGATTTTTTTTGCAACAAAATTTATCATCTTATATGTAGGAATTCCAGTGAGAATACCTCTGACCCGGGCTTTGGTGAATATCCCTCCCAATGCCATTATTGAAAGAAATAAGGAGCTCTTGGAAGCTCGGCGAGCAAGAAAGGCTCTCAGTTTGTTGCTTCGGTGACTACTGCTGCCATTTTGCCTCAGAGACGGACTCGGTCCAATTTAGGGGAGAGTCCTTCATGAGATAATGTCCCCATTCTTACTGGCATTGAGGAGGCTAAATCCTTGGCGAGCTCGGAGGGTAGTTTCCTCGGGGCGAAAGTTTCCCTGGGAGTTCCTAATGTTCTGGCATCATCGAATCTTGTTACGACCGCGGAACTACCTTGTTCGTATGCCGTCCCAGTAGCTCTGATTCCTTCCTATAATGGACCTTACAGAAGTGCCGGTAGAATTTGTGTTGCGACAGAGGTTCCTGAAGGAGAAGATGTGTGGGGTTTGGATGGGATGCCCATTTCATCTTTCATGAATGATATGACGATTTACACTCTATGTATATAATTTTTTCTCATTGCACATTATGCTACAATTCCTTCCACTTTTGAAGATAAAGTATTTTTCCCTTTTTTTAATGCAGGCCTACTTGATATCTTCATAGGTTTTGGAACAGATCAGCCGCTATGAATGGGAGGTTTTGGAGTTGAGGTGTCTAGTGGAGGCAACTTGGGTTGAGGTTAAGAAAGAGCACTTAGAGAGGGCGGTTAATGAGTCCCGAGCAAAGAGGATGGATGGAAAATTTGAGCGGATGAGGTTTGAGCTTACCTGGTCGTCCAAAAGGGTGTCTAGGCTCGAACTAATACTTGGTTAGAAGTTGTCCCTCTTGGATCTAGTCTCAGGACAATGTGACGTCCTTGTGTATTATCTTCTTAGTGTAAAAGAAAAGGGAAGTTCTCTCGAGGAACAACTTGGAGCTTTGCGGGTCTAGGTGGAGAGGCTTGACTGCGAGAAAGATAAGACTGTTTCTAACTTGAGGGATAGTGAAAATCATGCTGAGCTTACCGAGCATGCCATGTTTTTGAAGTCCCCGGCTCAAAATGCTCAGGTGGATTCATGAAAATGAAAATCTAGACCTGGATAAAGGAGTAGATGAGGCAAACAAATCATGGAGAGCCGCTCAATTGAAGCTGGACATGATGGCATCGATAATTACTCCTCCAGGGATGATTTGGAGCCTGTTGAGCCACATGGAACTATGGGTGAAGGGGCGACTGACATCCACTCAACCTCCCAGGTTGTGCCGCTTCTAGGTACTCTCCCAGCATCTTTCGTTGCTCCCTTGCATCCTTTAGTTGCTTCTTTTCCCCCAAATCCCCGTCCAGATACACCGAACTCTTCCTTCTCTGGTGGTCGTTGATGAACCCCTGCAGTGACTAGTGACTAGTTTGTGTTCGTACTTAATCATTTTGTTTTTCTTTTAGTTTTTTTGGAAGTTTGTTTTGGGAAGTTCTGTGAGTTTTCCAAGACATATTTTTGATTGTTAATGGGTCCCAATATGCTGATCAACACTAAAATGTATTTCCCGTTTCAGATGTAAAATTGATCCGTAGAACAAACCCTTAGTGTGAGATGAAGATAATTGATAAAAAAGTGCAATGTTATTATTATAAACTTTTAGAAGCTTCGAGGCCCAAGAACATAAGTTAGGCGAAGGGATGACCCAATCCTGACATAGTGATATATTTTTAGAGGGCGATGGCCCTTGTACATAGCTTCCTAGACACGACTTATTTAGACCCATGTTGTGAGGTAGGGTCGCTCGCTCATCAAATCATGATGGATTCCTTCATGTCGTATCTCTATTCTTGGAGACCTTCTTATGATGTCTATTCCTGGTTTTTACTTTTTCTTTGTAGCTTCAAGCTTCGCTTGATGCAGTCCCCCTAATGTGCGAGTGGAATATGCCATTGATGGTTCGATTATTCTGCAGGGAGCTGGGCCTTTTGCAATTTTCTCCCACAAGTGGTCCTATTCCTATTAAAGGAAGTAAAAGGGATGAGGGGTTTTCTTTTTAGATGTTGATGGTGCCAAAACCATTTTTAGGTAGACACTAATTGACTATGGCTGAGAAATCCTTGAGGTTTCGTAATTTTGCTAATAGTAAATGTATTCATCATTCTAGCCAGATAGAATTTTTGTCTATCATCTAAAAATGACAGTATACATATAAGAAAGAAAGTTTTCAATGCATGCATAAGGAAGGAGACAAAAATTGCTGCGATTCTAGAAATAGAATCGTTAGAGATGAACTGCATTCCAAATTGATATTACGGGCTTTCCTTCCATCTCTTCGAGCTTGTAAGATCCATTCACGGTTACCTCTATGATCCGTTATAGTCCTTCATATTGTACCCTATTTTGCACAAGTCAAAATAAAATTCAACTAGTGATTTCCTTGTTGATAATAAAAGAGAGTCACCACATAATATTTAAAGGTGTACTAGCGTACCTATTTAATTATTAAGATCATTATCCTATTAGTTTGCAAACCGATGAGATTTTGGGTAAGGGTTCATGTTCTTCTAAGGAGAAGGTGTTAGTCACTCCTTAAAATCTACCTGAGGTAACTCCATAGGACTTAGACTATGTGTAAGGAATTAAATGTCTATATTCTGCTTAGTTAGAGCTTAAAGGTTTTATAGCCTACTCTATGTCTTGTTTAAAGCTTACCATTTTGAAAGAAAATAGTATATGTACTTTAAAAAAGGATATATGGTTCACTTATAAAAGCCTTTGAGAAAAGTTTACAATATTTGAAAGAAATTTGAAAGTATACATATAGTACTTATGTTTGCAAGCTTTGTAAAATATGGCTAAGTTTAAAATACGTCATCTTATAAAATGGTATGTCTACTTGTAAAATTCCAGTAAAATGAAGGTTGTTTAAAGAAGTAGGCCTTGGGTATACGTGAAGATTGATTCTCAAATTATGGTACTCGAATTCAACCCATTTAAAATAGTCCTTAATTGCAGCAGTGTTTGGTTCGCAGAAGTAGCCAGCTTTTGGAAATCATTTCTGGTTTGTTTCTGTTTCTGCTTGTTTTAAAAAAGAGAAGGCTATTGACTTTACAAATCTGTCTTAGTACAAATAAACTTCATGAAAAATCGTTAGTGAAAATAACAGCGGAGTTAAACAATAGAAATTCGAGTACCAAAATTAATTCCAATTAGCAATTGGAAATAATTACTATTAAGTCACAATACTTCTTTTATCTTTACCTACATCTTTAGGGCTTGCCTAAGTTATTAATATAAATCAAAGATATAATTTATGGCATTCAATCAAATATCATCAGTGTTATATACATATGAGAATATTAGTAAACTTATTAAAGCGATAGAGGAAAGGGGTGGACTCTGGTTTTGGGCCTGAAGGAATGTAGGCTCAACAGATAGAAAGACGAACAACAACAACTCCAGTGACTTCCAACTTGAACTGTAACTTGGGCCTGAGTTCTTGTGGACTCATTAGGCCTAGTTCATATACCTTCTATTGAGCAGAAAACCAAACAAAGCCTCTTGTTTAACCATTTTGAATCCGAAACTCAAGCCCAGACAGTGTATGAACTCAGAAACCGGAGAAAGAAAATCAGTGAGAACTTTAGGGTTTTTAATTCTCTTTTATTTTCTATGTTGTGTTAGGTGGTAGGTCATTGTTATGTGAGAGCATTGAAAATCCCAATTTATAGTGGCCATTGAAGCCTTAGGGTTTCACAGTTTCAAATTTGATAGAGGAAGATGACGATGAGTTGATGATGTGAGAAAAATAGAGTAAAATCAGATAAGAACATAGGGGAAATCGTTGGAGTTTTACTTGAGTAGAAGACAACCGTCGCAGGCGAGAAAACCATCGTACAAAGATCGTAAATTCAGAGGTCATTGCATTTGAACTCTGGTTTCGAATAAATATAATGAGATGCTCATGCATGCTCTGATTTTATTGCAGCACTAGAAGATTTGAAGACTTGAAGTTTCATCTTTGAGTCTAAGCCATAAGACTCGAGATTTCAAATTCATACGATGAAATAAGGAGATATCGGTGAGATTCACGAAGTAAGAAGGCACAAGGAATGATTTGGAGTCATGAATTATAACCTTGAAGGTTTCTAGAATTGAAAGGTTGGGGTTTGATAGAATAGAAAGAGGAAAGGGAAAAAGGGGCGACTGGGTCAGCAGAGGAAATTAATTAGGGTTTGGGGTTGGGGTTAGTCGTCTCTAGGGATAAAAATAAGAGATGGAACCGAAGTTGTTGGATCATTTGATCAACGCCTCCGATTTTTTGAGAGTTAGGAGTTTTAAAAACAATTTTATAGGGAAAAATCGATGGTCGTTGGATTCTTCTGATCCAACGGCAAAGATAAAATGAGATGGGCTTTTAAAATAAATGGAAAAACGAGATTAATCCCGGCCACGATGGGCTGTGTTTAGTTTGTGAGTGAATTAGGACGGGTGACGTGACGGAGTTTGATTGGCTTAGGGAGGGTGGCCTAGATCGCCAAGGTGGAGTAGATGGGGTTGTGTTGAGTAGATCAGGTCCGTTTGGGCTGAAATAATTTAAAGAATAGCCATTTCGTTTTTAGTTAGGAAGTTACAATTGTAGCCTTTTTGGGTTTTTAACCCTTTGATAATTAATTTAAATGAACTTAAATAATTTCAATAAAAATGTAATAACAATTATAATCATCAAATACACTACTAATTACTTTAATTAATTAATTATTTATAAAAAAACTTTATTTTCCAAATTGTTACATGAATTTCGAATTATTGAAATAGTAGGCTAATTAACTAAAATTAACGAATAACTTATTAAATTAATTATAAAACCTATGTGATGTATATAAAGGTTATTTTAATAATCCCAAAATAATAAGTATGATATATCTTATAATTATCTAATAACAAATTATTAATTTCAACATTATTAATTAGTAATTCTTTTTTTTAAAATAGGTATTATTGATTAGAAAATATTTTAAACATATTTATTACAAATCATTAAGTATAAATAAGTTAATTTTAAAAGGGAGAGTCAAAATTGATCGTCAACAGCTACCCCTCTTTGACCGGAGACAATGAAAGAGTTTTCGGGCAAAGAAATCGAACCAGGGCCAATTTTTTCCTGACCTCAGGCATTCATGTAAAAATGACATATTGGTTTAAGCAAGATTATGAGTTGTAGTGTTAGGAGTTAAGGAAGATTCCGGGATAATTTTTGAGAGTTGGGACCGAATTCTGGCTTTGAATGGCTTGCAAACCTCGGGCTTAAGGAGGATCAGGCCTCATGTAGTTCTAGAGTGATGATTTGGAGGAGGCGATGCTCGCAGGAATTTCCCCAGCATCGTATTTTAACGATACTGCAAGACAGAAGATTTGGTACCCATGATAGCTCTTAAATTGCGGCTTGATTTGAAAGATTCAAAGAATTAGAGTTCCACTAATCGTATTTGAGTTTGAACTTGGATGCTTGGCCCGCTTATGAATTTGTTGTCCCTCATAGCATTGCAGCTTGGTTTGCTGCAAAGAAGAAGTTCCACGTTGTGATGTCTGATCCTGCAAAATCAAAATATACACATACCCAAATATCGTAAATGCAGATATGTTAAGATGTGATGTAAATGATGCAGGAATGATGATGCCAGGTTTCCAGCTAGCCGTTATTTGGGATTGGGACGACAAGATACTTGAATTTGACTCAATTTTTAGCCGAGCTGTGTACCGTTCCGCAGCTGTCGGAGCGTTAATTATCCTCATGTTGGGAGTGTCTCCGCACAATGGGAGTAGTTGACTTGTAATGTATCTTCACGTGATGTGAGAAGTTATATTGAAATGTAAAGTATCTCCGCACGATTAGAGTTTCTGACTTGAAAATGTAATCATGCTTGTAAGCTGAATGAGCAAAATGTCAAAACATTCGAGATAAAAATAAAGAAATAAGGAGCATGCCCAAGAGATACTCTTGACTGCAACTAAATTGCGGTCGTTGATCGGCATAATGTTGGTAACGAGGTTCGCGGCTATCTACTTGTAATATCATATGTGACGGAGTGACGTGTGGAACACTCTTGTTGGCAAAACAAAAAATTTGCTATATACATGGCTTCGATTGGCAAAGCTGACGGCTCGATTTGTATAGGGAGCTCCGATTAATTGAGCTGATGGTTTGCTATATACATGGCTCCGATTGGCGGGGCCAATGGCTCGTTATATACAACATGATCCGCTTGGTTGAGCAGACGATTTGCTATTTACTATATGTTTCACTTGCATCGACGACCTGGTTCTGAAATGCCTGTAAAGGATTTGAGAGTTAGTTTTTAATTATATGAGCAAAAATTTGAATAATGAGAGAAAGATGATAGTTTGGAGAGAGTGGCGAATCTGTCATTGCCCCGGTATGTTCCAGCATTTCCTTGTATCATGTTGGTCCTGCATTCAAAGAAAAATTCTTAGCAGGGGGTGTTAGTTTGTGTTAACCATAGTA